TTGACTGCTGACATTTTTCTTTTGACCAGTGTCTCTTAAGTTCAGTTGTGCTGTCTCCAAGGGAAGATGACATGTCCTGTAGAACTTCTGTGTAGATTATGTTTCCCTTCGCCCGAGGGCCCGCCGGAAATCCCGGGTACCTGTGAAAAACGCCTGTCCATTGCTTATCTGAGGTGGCTGCCGCTTTCAAGCTTCCCTTCCGCCCAGGAGCACGCTTGTCAGAGTTTCCAAGGGTTTGTTCCCGCCGGAAATCGCTGCACTCAGCCCCCGCCTGTCCCCTCCCTGGGCATTCAGCTCCCCAGCCTCACCGTCGTCGTCTCCTTCAGCTGCTCCTCCAGCTTCACCTTCTCGTCTGCGAGGCCCTTCTCTGGGGAGGGCGGCTCTGCCTTCTGCTCGGCCGGCCCCGTGTCCTTGTCCAGGCTCTGGCCATTCTTCTGTTTGGGGGCCGTGCACAGCAGCCGCGGGCCTGCCCTGGAAGAGGCCACCGTGGGAGTGAGGGCCAAGCACAGCCGCGTACGGCGTTAGAAAGGGCTGCCACCCCCCGGACAGAGCAGCTCTGCGCGGTGCTGCCCACGGGGGGAGGTGGACAGCGCACGGCGGCACTCTGGTGCCCCATCCACAGCGGGTGTCCAGGGCGCAGACCTGCTGTCCACGAGTGCCGGGGCCACGTCCAACAAAAACACTGATTAGAGAAATGAAGGATTATTATAAAGTATGAAGCTGGACTCTCGCTCTGGAGGAACCTGGATTCGAGGCCAATGAATGAGAGAGGAACTTGGACCGAGAAAACACACCAGGAACCCAGTTTCCAGCACTGGAACACAAAGCCAGGGTGGATCTTGGAACGAGCAGGATGCTCAGGCATTCGAAGTAGGTCATGAGGTCTGAGACTGGCTTGGAGCCAGGCCGATGAAGGAGGCATTCCCTTCAGAGCTGGTGAGAGCTGGTCCAGGCCATGAGGCTTAGGGTCAAGTCAGCCCGCAATAGAGGAGCCTTCAACTATTTAGTAAATGCCAAAAAAGTTATCCCAGCTTTCAACTTATTCCCAGAAGTGTCAGCAGATACCCTATATTGGCACAACTTACAAGGAAAATACAAATGACTAAAGGGGGGAAAGGAGAAGAGTCAAATTGCTCACCCAGAAACCTGAGCTGAGAAGTTAAGGAATGGCAGGTGCAGGGGGTGGGGGAATAGCCATGAGGGCAAGTGAGACTCCACCGAGCAGCAGGGGGCTGCAGTTGTCCTCTGAACAGGAGTTTTCGGTTTTATTTCCAGGTTTTTTGCAGGTGAGCTCTGTTTAAGTAACCCCTCCAGCTTGGGGAGAGGGGAGGCTCAGTGGAGTCTGTGAGGTGGTGTCTGCAGAAGGGAGGAGCTGGGAGAATGTGAGCTGGCTTCCCTGGCACACTGGCCATGGTACTCTCTAGGATTTCGGCTCACCCTCACCTCTCTGCTCTCGTGCTTCTGGGAACTCAAGCTGTGATTCAGGGGCAACTCCCGCCCCAGTCAGGGTCTGCCCTGGGTTCACCCGAGGGGTGAGTCACTTATCTGGAAGATAACAGCAGAAGGGATACTGGAACCCAGAACACTCACCACGCCTGGGAACCTGCCTCCACACTGTCTTCCCACTTACCCCATGTATACTTGGACAGTTGTAATTGCTTCCTTGAATCTCAACAGTCTTATCTGTAAAATGAGAATAATGTTACCTCCTGCATAGGAATGATGTCAAGGTCAAATGAAATTGAGTAAGTAAATGAGTGTATAATACTAAGTAAGCACAGGGTCTAACTTTCCATGGACCGGAAAAAAAGTTTTTTAAAAAACCCCAAAAATCAGCTGTTATTTTTTTTTTTGTCAGTACTTGTAGTCACTGAATCATTTGCCAGTTAACAATTCCACAGAATGGGCTCAAAATAAGTTTATATATAAAGAACAGTAATTAATCTTATTAATAAAAAAATGTATGATTATAAAAGGGAACGCTGGTGCCCTAGTGGTAAGAAGCTGCACTGCAGTACCAAAGGCACAGAGTTTGAATCCACCAGTTGCTCTTGAGAGAAGGACGGGCAATCTCCTCCTGTGCGTGTTTCTGCCTCTGGAAACCTGCTGGAGGGTCAGCTATGAGTGAGTTCTGATTCAATTGATGCACAACAACAAGAATCATAAAATTATACAAAAATATACAGTGATAATTTAGAATTATATGATGCATGTCCCAGACTCAGAGTCAGGATTGCAATTCTTCCCATTTTATGGACAAGAGAACTGAGCCCCAATGGAGCCAAACTTGGGCTTGAGCTCAGTTGTTCTTCCAGAAATGGAGTTCTTTTACTATACAGACCACCTCTTGGGCTCCCACACAAAAAGGTTTTCTTGAAGAGAAGGAACTGCCATGTAAATCCAATTGTTGTCTCATTTATAACTCTTTTCTCCAAAACAGACTTGGTAAGGACTGCAGAAGAACAGAGGTGAGCCAGTCTGTGAGCATGGTCTGATCCTCCTGGGCCACAGGCTCAGAAAGCAAAACTCTGTCCAGAGCTTCAGCTGGTCCTGTCCTCCATCAGTAGCTCTGTGTGCTTTAAGAAACCTCTCTGAGCTTCACTTTATTCACCTGTACTGGGAGGATGATAAACAGTGATACTTAGGCGTGTTGTTGTGGGGACTACTTTAGAAGGGACATAAAGAACTCAGAGCAGCGCTGGCAGGTATGGAGCGCTCAGTGAAGGTTAAACTCCCACCATTACAAGGTCATGGGTTCTCTCCACCAATGCTTGCCTCAGGCTCCCGGATGTTTTCTGATCTGATGTCCTAGTGTGTCTTCCTCAGGAATCACCGTTTGTGATTTTATGTTTTAAGAATCATGGTTCTCACGCTCCAAGCCCTGAGAGGCCACAGGGATGCCCAAGCCCTGAGAGGCCACAGGGATGCACACATCTGGACAGGACTGTTCTGACTACAATTAGCCAGGAGAGTCAGCGCCACCCAGCAAAGAGAGGACCTAGGCCTGTGCTCCAGGACTCCTCTCTGGCCCGAGGACAATATTTTCACCCCTGGGAGAATTTTAAGGTGGAGTCCTGTGGGAGTGGGTCTCCCTATAGGGGAGGTCAAATGCCTGGAGGGGGCAGTAGCGCACAAAGGTGTGGAATGTGGCTTCACCCCGGTTGACAGAAGGCTGCTGCTTGGTCTGCTGCGGGTCCCAGCCAAACCCCAAACGCCGGCCAGCTCCGCTCCGAGCGGTTCCACTGCCTGCGCTGTCTCTGGCCGGCCATTCTGGGCTCAGCCGGGCGCCTGCACAAGGAAGAGAGCGTAGGTTGCAGGTGCCTCTAGGACGCCTCCTTGGCGCACTCGTCAGCCCCGACCTTCCCAGCCAGACCTCCAAGAAGGAGCCCCAAACCACCTTGCAGGTGCCACGGGGAGCGTTCGGCGGAGCGGCGGCGGCCACTGGAGGCACCACCGCGCGGTCCTCGTCCCTTGCTTGCAGTCCCCAGGCGCTTAGGTCCACTGCGGTCGGCGGGC